GGGGGGGGGGGGGGGGGGGGCGACGAAACGTTGATTGCACACGGACAAAAACAGCAGATCAGATGAGCATACAGCAGGCGCTGTGCAAAATCTACACAGAATGTAGCGCTCAATCGGACATAAAAAAGAAACACGACCCAACACTTACTCGGGAGTCAACAACCCACACGGTAGCTAACTTCTCAACCCGCTCAAAAACGGGAGCAGCGGCAGCACCACATGACCGCCCATCGTAGGGTGGTCCCCCGGCAACACCATCAGCAAAAGCACTGTGCGGCGCGGACGAGAAACACCAAAGGTCGTACATAGCACGCAAGCACGCACATGCTGTGCTCTCGACAAAAAAAAAACACGCAATGACAATCACCGCATATCCAAGCCCCCACCCACCAAACTGATATCACAAACCTTGGGGGTAAGGCTCTCCATCACCCCCACAGCTCCCCGCCCACTACAAACTCCAAGGGTTGGAGGGTCAGGGTTGTTCGCTCACCTGCTGAGGTGCCTGCTGCCCTTGCTGCATCCCTCCCATACCGCCCGGTCCCCCGCTCCCCGAAACGCCGCCGCTAGAACTCCCGCCGCCGCCGCCGCCGCTGCCAGTCTGCTGCCCCCCGCCGCCGCCGCCGTACAGAGTCTTGGAGGCCGCCGTCGATGTCGACCCCGGCGACCCGTGGGAGGTGCTGCCGTGGCCGCTGCCGCTGCCGGCACCGCTGTGGGTGGAGGTCGGCGTCGGCGCGGAATAGACCCCGCCCGGCGCGGGCTTGGCGGAGCTCGACAGCCCCGAGCTGCTGTTGCTGCTGCCGTAGAAGTTGCTGCCGCTGTTGCTGTTTCCTCCCTTGAGCGTGGCGCGATTGATTGTTGTTCATGTGGTTAACGACAACAAAAAACACAACAGTGAGATAACGAGTGACGCAGCATCATGCTGTCCCGGCCGCGTGTCCCCTCCGAACGTCAGGTTACTACATGCAGAGGGCTATGGCGCTGGACGACCTCTCGTTGGGTCCCCACTGGATACACCGTGCGGGGCGAAATCCGTTGTTCAGCTGCCTATGACGACAGAGGAAAGGGATCCTCTGCGCCGATACATCATGCAAAATGAAAAAAAAAAACATGCTTGTACCACAGATTAGACCTGTCCATCGACGTTCTTCCCTCACCTGCTGAGGGAGAGATCCGCTGTTCGAGTACTGCGGCTTGCTGTTGTAGCCACCTCGGCCTCCTTGCTGCCTCGCCGGCCGCTGACAAGAAAAAAAACACAGCAAGGGTGACGCGAGGCGGCGTATGCAGCAGTGTGTCAGTCGAGCCACTGGTGATCCCACGCTGCTCATTTCCACGAAACAGGGGCGCAAAGTCTGGGTACACGAAAACTACGAGGGGTGGGTGGGTGGGACGGGTACATCCCTCCACGGAACCCCCTGTTCCGCAGGAAGGACAGGGCCCGTGGTCTGGGTGAAATAAAAAAGGTACTTGGGAATGCAAACGTCCAAGGCATCGAGAAGCCGTGGGATAGCAAGAATGGTGGGGTGGCACATGGCAACTACGTCTATGGAACCCCGCTTCCACGCGGCAAAAAAAGCGGGGGGCAAGTTGCGAGGGATGGGGGGCAAGACACAAGTTGAGGCTTGCGCAGCTACTGCCTGTTGATTTTTTTACCAACACGAGAAATGTCTTGACGGGACAAAATGGGTACGGTATGGCATGCAAAAAAGCGCACACACCCGTAGGCAGCCGTCGGTGCCAGCAAAAAAACGCACCTGGTGCTGCTGCTGGCTGTGCGCCTGCTGCGACTGGTGTTGCTGGTGCTGTTGCTGGTGTTGGTGCTGCGGCTGTTGCTGGCTGTGTGCCTGCTGATGCTGCGGCTGGTGCTGCTGGTGCTGCTGGTGCTGCTGGTGCTGCACCGGGGGCGTCGTCGACACGGAAGACGGCGACGACGAGGGCACGTGCTGCTGGTGCTGGTGCTGGTGCTGCTGGTGCTGGTGCTGGTGCTGGTGCTGCTGTTGCCCGTGTTGTTGGCTGTGCCCACCCTGGTGGGTCAAAGACGACGACGACGCTGGCGAAGGCACCTGCTGCTGCTGCTGCTGCTGCTGCTGCTGCTGCTGCTGGGATGACGACTGCTGTGTTTGCTGGGACGGGGCCGGCGGCTGCGTCGCGGAAGTAGCAGCTGCTGCTGCTTGAGGCGCGGGCGACTGTGCCTGCTGTGTCGCCGCTGCTGCCGGCTGCGACTGCCGCGGTTGTTGTTGCTGCTGCTGCTGCTGGGGAACGTCTCGGGATGTCGTTCGCTGAGGTCGGGAGGTTGTCTGGGTCTGAGAAGTCTGACAAGAAAAAAAAAAAACACAAAGGCGAGAAAGAGGTCGGGCCTATCTATCACGACTGATCGATTGATTCGTGCCACAGCTTCAGTGCTTCAAAAAAACAAAACGTTTTCGGCTTGAGTCCGTCCGTCACAGGCAGCCTTCAAGGCCATCCTCGCGATCGTGAGCTTTGCGATCGTACTTGCTTGACAAGTAACCAAACGATGTTGTTACAGCTGTATATAGATCCTGATACAGCGCCGGTATGTGCCCAGAGGTTTGACCGGCACTATTGAACCGGCCATGCAATATTGGCACCGCTACGGTACCGTGAAAATGAACTCCAGCAATACAACACGCACCTGTTGAACTGGCTGCTGCTGCTGCTGCTGCTGCGACTGCTGCGGCTGCACCTGCGGCTGCTGCGCAGCCGGAAGCTTGCTCTGAGCCTTCGACACCTTTTGGACCAACGGACAAAAGCCCACGGAGCGGCAAATAAAGCACGAACATGGCACCAGGACAGTTAACAAACCAACCGGAGCACGAACGAGACACACGGAGACTAGTAGAAAGGCAGAAATCCACCCACTCGCAAGGTAACAACCTCCCTGATACAAATAAAGAAGCCTTCCCACAGATGGATTTACCGTGTTGCTCGTAAGAGAAAGAAAGAAGCAACGATCGCTGCCCTAGCTGCTGCTCTACCTGCGGCAGCGTAATGGACAAGTTGCTGCTGCTGACAACGCATGCACCAAATAACAACAGTGCACAATATCTAGTAGTCTTTCCTTTGGTTGTACGCATAGTTTCCAAACAAAATGTGGGATTGCTCCCCTCTTCGTTGCCCCCACCTGTGAGAACTGCGAGTGCGGCTTGTTGTTAAGGCTGTCCATCTCTGCCTCCAGCTCATGCACCTGCTCCAACAGAGAGAGAGAGAGAGAAAACAACAGTACCGTCACCACCACTTACCACCAGCAGCAGCAACAACAACAACAACAACAACAACAACAACAACAGCAACAGCAGCAGCAGCAACAACAACAACAACAACAACAACAACAACAACAACAACAACACCATCACGGAAAACTTTATTGATTCTCTTGGTGACAATGACGTCTCACAGATAAACCACCGACACCACGACCAACCCACACCGACACCGACAGCAGGAGGAGGACGGACGTTCGGTAAGCGTGGCCCGAATTCTTGAGACGCACGGCGATAAAAAAAGAAAACAACGCCAGTCCAGAAACAACACTCGCATGCTGTACATCAAAGCGACCTACAATAGTATGCATATTCCACAACCAACCTCCACAGGTCGCCTAGACTCGGGTACAAAATCATCCACACACCACAAAAAAACAAAAACAACCCGCGCACGGGACATGTTGCTTCCCAACAATGTCATGCCTTTCATCCACTTTTCGCCGTCCTCAACTGCTCTCGCTTGCGATTCGGCACCGTAGTACAAGTAATACATCAACACGCGCACATGCCGCCGCATCGTGGAGTACCCGATAGCGGCATGTACAAGTGGTTTGCGTTTTTGTAAATGTTAACAGAAGGAACCAGACTTCCGCGGAATCCCCCCGAGCAGCAACAACTCACACGGAAATCGATCGATCGGGCAGCACGTTAACCCAAGGCAGCAACCACACGCATTTCCTAAGGGTTAGGCGGGCCAGTCTGTTCGTAGCCGCACTCACCTGCTTCACGTTGCCTAGGGGAGGGAGCCCCGGGGGTGGCCCCGCGCCTACCGGCACCGACGGCGACGCCGTTACCGTAGACGAGAAGCCCGGTGGCTTGGTACCCTGTTGCGTGGGAAAAGTGCAATATGGCATGACAAAAGCGCAGCAAAAAAAAATACAGCCAAGAGCATGGGCACGCAAAAACAAACGGAGAGAAGGCCAAACAAGGGCTCACAAAACAAACATAACCCAATTTCCCCAGGCTCCCTACCCCCACGACGAGAACACCTCCCTCCAATGAGTGAAAGTTCATTTCATGAGCGAAAACATTATAAAGATCTTCCAAATGATGAGCTGACGATCCTCCCAAGAATTACGGACGACAACATTGAAACATATCATGATAGAACAGACACAGCAGCTCACGAAAACACTGAAAGGTGACACGAAGGAAGAAACACAGCTAACGACGACATCGAAGTGTGACATGAAACAAGACGCCGAGTCGGTTTCAATTCACTTACTATAAAGACCTGACCACATCCTTTTCGACTGAGGTCATATCTCGAACGGGTGGTCTTTCTGTGGGGTTATGTTTACTTGTTTACTTTCTAAAAAAAAGGCCGACGAAACCACTGAAAGAACGGACAAGACAGCTCGCGACATACCGGAGTCTCCACGGGGGATGTCGCCGTGTCCTTGGTTCCCCAACCCATAGCCGACCCCGACGTCGCACCCCACCCGTTTCCAGCGCTCGTCCCGACTGACGTGGATGTTTGCTGAGCGAACGAGNGGGGGGGGGGGGGGGGGGGGGGGGGGGGGGGGGGGGGGGGGGGGGGGGGGGGGGGGGGGGGGAAGGTTCAGCAACGCGAGCGGCGCGCACAAGCAGCAGCCCATGCAAGGGCACGAAAACACGCAGTCAGCACAAGCGGGTATTATAGAGCATCACCCAACCGGCGACCAAGTCGCTAGGGATATTGGTATAAATCCCTTGCCTTCCCTCATTACTGCCGTCCATGGTGACGTCCAGAACAAGAACAAGAACAAGAACAACAAAGGTGCCCTCTTCATTTATCTCCAGAGAAGGCAACATACAACACAACAGTGCCTCTACAGCGATTAGGCTGAACACGGCACCAACGCCAAACACGATGCTTGTCGGTCGCGCGACGCGTGTGCATCCTGGGCTGGAGGCAAGCGCGGTTGGCAACGAGGCATGGGCATGCCCTTGCGTCAGAACCGATTTGCCACCGCTAGACCAATTCAAG